CACTCGAAAACTTTTATTCTCTGCCGTTTGCAATCGTGGCATAAGAAAAAGAACTGAATTCCATCTGGCGACATGTTTCAGCGGCTCGGAAGTAATCGATGGCACCTGAGCGAATCTGGTTCTCTCCAAACAACCCTTGGCCCGCTACACTGACACTACGGCAACGATACACGCTCGCTGATGGTTAAAAACCTTTTGAATTCTACGTCGCACTGTTTCGTGCTCAGCGTAGTCTGTCGTCATTGCATGCAGGACGTAAAAGAATGCAATAAAGATAACTAAAGACAGAATTTTCTCCATCGCTTTAAAACTCGTAAACCTGCAACCAAAAACGCCTGCAAATGGCAATAATGTACATTTTAGCAGAAGTTCGACTGACTCATAAAAAACCTAACACAGTTAAAATGCATAAGTGCGGTATGGTGCCTCGAAGCTTACGTGGTAACCGGACAAAAATCCCCTGGGCAATGACCCCCGGACAAAAACCCTCGTGGACAATATCCCCTCCCAGACAAAAACCCCCAAAAAACACTTGTGGTAATTTTTGAGCAGGATCTGGACCATAAGAATGACTATTTAACCGTTCTGAAGTTCCTCTCCTCGAACTTTAATTTTGGCTTCACAGTCGACTTTTTTGCGTCTTCTTTCACACTCGAACGATACAACTCCATCTGCCATATTTTTCTGCTCCACATTAACATGACCTTCAAACACCACCTTCTCTTTTCCTTTATTCGATTTTAAAAATTCCATCATGGATTAACAATACTTTTGATATATTAGATACTAGACTCTCACCGGCAATTCAACAAAATCCCTTTTGACGATGAGTGGGAAAATTGCATTCTCCAAACTGTTTCTGTCGACGTGGAGAGGGGGGAGGATTGTCCACGGAGGGTTTTTGGCCGGGGTGGGGGTTATTGTCCACGAGGGGTATTTGTCGGGTGGTTATTTTCCTAGAACCTATTTACATACGATTTTAAGCGTTGCTTACGGTCAGACAACATAAACTATACAACACGGATAAAAAAGTATGCATAGCAACATATCACCTGCAAAGCGTCGGTGACCATGCCCAACTGCTTATATTCGGAATTCCCCCAACCGAATACATCGCCTTTGTCTAAAAATTTCATTGTCCAAAAGATTATAAACGCCGAAAGTATATAAGCTTTAACCGGATAAAGCAAGAACGCAATCGGCGCTGGAAGAAACCTGAATGATCCGTTCATCTTTGATGTCGCCTCCAACAAGAGTCGGCTGCCAATTGGACTCTAGCGTTTCGTTTCCTCTAACGAGAACCATCTTATAACATAACGGTGCACATATTACTAGTACCTAGTTGGCCGTCCGTACCGCAACCAAACGCGTACACAGAGCCAGACGTAGTCAGAACAAAACTATGGTCAAGTCCACACACAACATTTTTAACTTGGCCTTCAAGCCCTCGAACCTGATGCATTATACTGTTATTTGCATAATCCTCATCTTCAATTATTGGCCGACCACACTGACCGCAAGAGTTGTTGCCAAGACTAAAAACTTCAACCAGCAGCATTAAAATAACATGTCAACCGATGCCAAATCTACATACCTTCGTGATCAGTGGCAATCAGTGTGTGAAGTCGACCACATGCCACGTCCACAACATGAAAACCATTCGGGGAGCACAAAGGAATGTTTATGGCTTCTGGCTGAATTAGCCATTGCCGCGACATGCCTTGGTCACCGCTAAGATGAAAACCGAGCTGACATGATGTATTGAGTCCGGTACCAAATACCGTTCCTGAAGGGTGCGGGTGACATGCAAAAATGGTAAAACCGTATCCACATGCTACATGCGTTACCTAAAAGTTTGAATAAATTCAAGGTACAATGGGAAGTTCGTATAATCAGTAAAGCTCTCGTAGCAGGCAGGAAAGACCTGCTAAATCAACGTTCAGTCGAGCCGAACGAAGCTATAATAAGTATGAAATCGTCGATAGCCCTGATAAGTACACATGAGGGGCAGCAACAGCTTCAACGTATACCACACGAATCGCGGAAATTTTTAATGGTACCGACTGCTTGTAAAGGAGATAGATTCCTTAAAGACGAACAGTCCTGGTAACTGCTTCGGATCTATTTCTAGACCATTTATTGAGCAACGACAAAAAGCCAATTCTGCGGTTCACTGAAAACGAAAGGATAGTTTACAGGCAATAAAATTCATTCATTCATTTTCTTTGGCCGCTTCTCCTTCCGGGTCGCGGAGCCATACGCATCAGACAGTACTTCCAACGTTCCCGATCCTGTGCCAGAGTCTGAGATTCGGCAGAAGATAATTGGAATCTGGAACAGATTCTTTCCTTATATTAGCACCAGATTAATCTTGGCCGTCCCGTGGGCCATCAGCCGGTCAGTTTCACAAGAAACAGTTGCATTGCTTTCCTATCTGGAGGCATTCGCAACACATACCCAAACCATCGCAGCTGTACATCAGCGGTCATCAAAGGGATCTGTTCAAACCGTCGTGGGATGTTGTTTGCAAATTTCGTTCTCGTGTCCACCGAAAACAATGTTTCCCATTTGATTCTCTGGTTGCTTCTGCCATCAGATCTTCGTACGGTACTCCGTTTCTTACAGCGCAGCGTGCTAACAGCAAAGTGGTGTTCGGTTGAGAGCTCTGCGTCTCTTTCAGCTTGAACATGCATTACTGCGCGTCCTCCATTCAGACGATATGATCATCAAATTGATCATCGACTTCTTTGCACAAGCTTCCCTGTACAAGGTATACTGACGCACTCTACGATGCTCGAAGATGTTCATAATGGACAGTCCATAGTTTGCACAAAACCACAACAAGTTCATGCCGTTGAGGCTGAGGTCTCTAGAGCCGCTTTTCAATCACGGCGTTCCACTTTTCTGCATCTATTCCGACATGTGCATTAAAATCGCCCATGAGTACGAGGGACTCTGTGTTCGACACTTCGGACAGAGCACACTGCACTTCTTCAAGTAAGGTATCGTATTATCACTCCAAACTGGACGCACAGACCTGTACAAAAGTCAACCTGTTGTAGCTTCAGTCGAAGGATCACCATCCTTCCGCTGACAGGCTTCCAATCAATAATTCTATCC